GTCCTCCCTAATAAAACGGGCCTAAAATATTTAGAATAGACCCTAGTAAGACTAATTTTGGCAATGGCAAAAACAATTAAGCTTAGACTAGATGGCATACCATACAAATACAACAAAACTTTAACTTTCCAGGAAGATGGCTCAGGCCTCATCTGGATGGATCGGTCAGGAGTAGTAGGCCTAGCCTAGACTAGTAGTAGAAGCTTGGCGTATTTTTAAGTTCTTACTTACAGAGGCCTACCTACCTTTTTAACAATATTCTACCCTAAAGGCCTAAATCTGTAGCAGCTAGCGGTGAGCAAGGTTCCTAGTATTATCGGTTATCAGTCCATGTCGTTCTCAGCAGGCCAGAACTATTATACTAACTGTTTTAATTCAAGTAGGTAGCCAAAAGGGAGCTGGAGCTTGTTCTAGGCTAGTCGAGACATCCGCATCTTCAATTTTGAAAATTTACGAAGATTGATTAATATGCATGAAGTTAGCCAATCACGTGATTTACAAAATCAGTCATGCATACGATATCCCACATCAAATTTGATGTGGGAAATTGCACGCATGAATCGTTTGCCCAGGGCCTAATTCGAAAAAAAAGAAATCGAGTATGGGACGCCAATTAAATTAGGTATGGCACGCACTAAGTACAATAATGAGTGAGTAACTTAAAATTAGGGCCTGGAACCCAGGCTATAGTCGTATCTGTACTGTTTTGTACTCGCTAGCACTGTTAACGCCAAGTTTACGCGTGCTGCGCAGGGAGCACAAATACGCACACTGATCATATCACTATAGCAACCAATGACCGCTACAACTGTTGATTGTCAAAAATATTAGTAGAGCATGCATCATATGCTACTGGAAAATTATTATACTTAGATTAGATTTAATGCATTCAAGAATTTCCTTTGTATAATGATTTTCCTATAGTGTAATATGCGGAGCTCTACTAATTGCTTATTATTAAAATGTTGTTAGCGTCATATATTCTACGTACATTGTGTAAGTTTTACTCATATGTGATTCATACTTGTGTTAAAGTATCTCTCTATTTACTTCTTTTAGAAACTGCTGATAAAGCTTTTAAGAAGCTGTTGAATATTATTTCAAATTGGTATGACAGGTATGGATACTTAAGTATGCTGAAAGTTTTGTACAGAGACCATGTGGAAAATACTCCTCAATTATACAATGCTTCAGGGACATTGGACCTATTGCATGCGTTGGATGCTTCTGGAGATCTTGATTCAACAGATATCTCTATCCTCTTTGATACCATAAAAATAACAAAGACATTTGGTTTGGGAAGTAAAATTAAACATCTAATACCAGCATGCCCAAATCTTAAAGATGTAATAGTCTCAAAATTCACATTTCATAGACAAAAGCTTATTGTTTTTGGAATGGCACTGGTGGATGCCGATATAGTACAAATCAATAGACTGTATAATAAACCCGTAAAGGTATATGCAGACACATGGCATTTGATTATGGATCTAGAACACCGATTAATACTTTGTGAAGGAAAGATGATGGAGGAATTCATTGACAATCTAATGGAAAATAAGCTTGTTCGTGCTGTAAAGGCTCTAAAACAAGGTACTGTACATATCAATGTAGATACAGTTGTTAGAATCTATTCCTTGTTGTTATTCAAATATAATATATATTAAGTTCCACAGTAGAAAAACTGTACATAAAAATAATAATCAGCCGTGCATCACCTTCAAAGAACTCTAATTTTGATTAAATTTGTTGTAATATTAATCATATTAGGCATGTACTTAATTTCTTTTAACAAAGACTTTTAAAAGGTAGTTAAACACAATGATGAATTTGTTGTACCTAAAGCTTTAGCAAAGCCACGTATCCCTCCTTAACTTCATCTCTTCAGTCTGCACCATCCTACTCAATTTTCAAGAAAAGAATTTTAAAACTTCTTTTATATTATTTTGTTCATGTGACATTTCTTTGCACTTTTGAAGAATGCAGTGGACTTCCTGATTTCAGTCGCTGCACCCACCACTTTTCAACTATTAAAAAATGAATTTTTTGTTCATGAATTTCAAGATGACCAAGACATATTTTATGTCTGTATACTATTTTTTATTTTCTTGCAGTAAATTATTTGGTCATATTAAAATGTATGTGTTAAAACACAATACATTCAAAATTGAAATTAGTTAAATATTAACTTTGAATTGAAAAATACCGTAAGCAGCTTGGAGTTATTTGCATAAATAATGCCTGTCCTGATTTTTAATTTAACTGATGAAATATTTATAGAGCAGAAACAACAATATAGTATGAATTAATGAATTATTAAATATCATTTAAGAAAATGGAGATCAAGTGATGATTACATTTTTTATTTATAGAATCTTCCTCAGCAACTGTTGAAGAAACATCTAAAACACTGTCAAAAGACCATGGTGATGAATCAGGCCAAGGTGAGTTTAACATATTTTAGCAGGGCTTTTTGGAAATATTTTAAGAATTTAATCTGGAGCTTTGTAGAGGTTGATCAAAATTTTCTTTAGGAAAGACATAATCAAATAATTCTTCATGGCTAATAATTAAAATTCAGAATACGTTTCATTTGACAGTGCCATCAGTACCTGTTTCTACTGATGTCAAAGAACCGTTTTTGGTTAATAGTTTTAGTGGCAGTAGAAGAAAGATCCATTCCAAACCAATCTATATATTTTTTTTCTGTGCTATGTTTCATTTTATTTCATACATTTCATTGGGGTCTTGATAGGGTAATGCAAATTTTATTATCCATTTTATCTTTCATGTAAAGATATTGATGTAAGAAATATTCGCAAGCCCAAAAGACCTTCTCAAAAAGGTAGGTAAAAAACCAATCTGATCTATGATTTTTTTTCTCTGTTATGTTTTATTTGCATTCATAAATGATAGTAATTGACTTATTTGGTTATCTGATTAACAATTCCATAAATTATGATTAACAATTTATACTTAGGCCTAAAGTACTATAGGTGTATTTTGAAAAAATTGAAAACTATACTGTAATATTCATGTTTTAATAGTAAATCGAAACATGAAAATCAAGAGTATTAGCATAAATAATTCTCAGAATCACTAATAGTCATTGAAATGGCTCTCTGGAACTTAGGAACTTGACGCATCTTAGTGGATGGATTACATCAATATGATTATTGCAGAATTATTTATTGGTTTATATTCTCTTTACAGACAAAATAAAATTAATTGCCAAGCGCCAAAGAACAAACAAACTAAAATTAACTCGCAAGCGCCAAAGAAAAGAAAGCGGCCATTCATGTGGAAAATATCCTGATTGTTTGTTAAAGGATATAATTGCTAAAACTAGAGGCAAGTTGAAATTGCATTCTATGCAAGACAATTGTGAAAAATATGGAAGCCTTATCTTATACTTCAATGGTATTGGTTATAAACTGACTGAACTGGAAAATGCATGTATAATATTTCATTTATCTCAAAGTGATCCTAATGCTTTTGAGAATCTATGGAAAAGACAGGAAAGCAATGTGCTCATCAAAGATCTAGCAAAAATTTTAGTACCAGAAGAATATCAGCAGGTGTTTTTAGATGAATGGATGACATGCATTGATCCAGATGAACCTGCTACCAGTGAATTGAATGAAGAAGGTGAGAAAATAAAATACATTTTATGCCATTTGATTTAAATATTCATAAAAATAAACAAGTAAATAGCAAAGCATTGACAGACAGACCCATAACCAGGATTTCTTGAGGGAGATTTCTTTATGAGAACCATGAATACAATAGGTGCCTAGCCTTCTGGTGTGGTCATGGAGAAAAGCTTTTTTGGAGGTCAGGGGGAGAAGCCCCTATCTGTAGCTTTCTAGCATTTAAATGTTGAATTTATCGTTTCAGTGCAAAGGAAGTATATGGCTTTTATATCTAAGTGTATGGAGATGGTTGCTCAAATAGTGGGTTCATGCAGCTAAACTATAAAATCCTACTAGTTAACCCTCTGGATACCGTATTCTTTTGTAGTGCAAACCCTTGAATACCGGATTCTTTTGCAGTGTAACAAGGTTTTTTGCTTTTTTTGAGTATACGTCGTTCTGGTGGATTTTTGGGAACTTTCTGTAAATTATACAGAAAAATGTTTCTAAAAACAAAGAAAGCTTATAGAATAAGCTTTCATTTGATGTATAATTTATATTTTTGGGAATTTTTTTTCATAATATAATATAATATAATTTATATATCATATATTATAGAAATTACAGAAAAATGCTACATATAAATCGTCAGCAAAAACCGAAAAAAAATAAATTATAGCCAAAAAAAATAAAAACAAATATAAAACATTTCTATTCCACACAGTTATATAATGTATTTACCCAACCATCCATAACTATAAGCGCGATCTTTCCATTCAAAGGCGTCGACTACCCTCACATTTCTAGGCCTAGGCTCATCTTCATCAAGAATATCTCCGCCGTCAGAATTGCTTGAAGCCCCATCATCGCTTGAAGTCATCATCGCTAACAGGCACGTCTAAGCCT